TACAAAGTCCATTGTGTATTTAATGTATAAATACTTTAATGAATTTCTAGTATACCATTTCAAATACAACTCGCAAGTTAAGCAGAAAAAAAATCAGTTAAGCTTGCCAAATTAAAAAAAGTATGTTTATATTTTGTCGGTCTCTAGCACGAAAAAAGAGGTGTTTTTAGGTGTCAGTTAATCATAAAACTTTGTACACCTCGAACACACGCTAATGTATGCATACTAACCGCACGCTTGATAGACACTCCGCCTTCTCATTCAAATAATAGAATGACCTACATAGGTATAATGGCGAAACCGGGATTTTACAGTGAAGTATACGATTTTATTTAATCGATATAATGTATATATTGAAAGTCTCTTTCCCAAAAAATCTTTTATGAGTATCTATACAGACTATGCTTGAAGACTTAAGCTATAATATAACAATGTGCAGATTTGAAAAGGTAAAATTCTGCATTCAAAAAGGGGCGAGAAAGCAGTGTTATGCAGATTCATTCTTTATTAAATTGTATCGATTTTTTTAAATAAAAGTAGGAATTCAAAATATTTTTTTTTAAAGGAGGCAGTCCGCTGACAAATAATTCCAAAGTTTCGCATGAAACCTTTCAAGAATTTTTACATTTTGTATATATTCAGTATGATCAAGGAATTGTCATCAATTCATGTTAACAACACGATTCTAGCAGCACTTTCAAAGTACTATAAAATACAAACTTTCGATACAAACAAAATTATGTTTCAAAGTATGCGGCGTAGTGTTGAACTTTTGCATCTTTGTTGTTAGATCGACAGATGAAAGGCTGATCGGGATTTCAAAACACTGCCTGTGTTCATTATAAGAAAATATGATAAGAATAAATCAGCCTACCTGATTCTTAATCTTTAATTCCTTATGAATCACACATAATATTCACGGTATATGCTTTACAATTCCGATTTCATATATTTGTTTACTCACGTTTAATTTTCACTCGGCAAATATTTGATCAATAGTTATGACGTCATTGATTTGGTATTTAACCCCGTTAATAAATACATAGCAATTGATACCACCCCAAAACTACAATATTTTGTTTATATTATGTATTAAAATTATTCCACTCATTTCTTGGACCTGAAATTAAATTTTAAATATAGATATTAAGAAGTCATTATCTCTATAGTTCACGTCGTACAGCTTATACTATGACGTCATATTGTATAGACAAGTAGGATATCCCTGGATGTAGCCTTAACATACCCGCGTGGAACTTTATAAACTACATCTGACTCAATCATGGAACAAATGACACTTACAACTGCTATATGAGCAGTGTACAAAATTTCCGTCCGCCCGAGCACGCCAGAGACGTACTAAATCCGGAGCGGACGTATAAATTTTACTCTGCATGCATCATCCCGCTTGGATGCAATAATTTTACCCTATTCCCTCAATTATTGCTGGTAAATGTTTTGAGAAGGTAAAGACCAAATATTTTAACGTACATACAGGGCGATTATCCCTCAGACAACAAGAAATAAAAAAAATTTGTAAACAAGCAATAAAAAAAAGTCTGTAAATATATAAGAACACCACCATTACAAAAATCGACTTTTAACCTGAATTTCATCTGTTATCAAGCATGAAACGATATTTTCAACTTTCCACCGGCATTTTTGGGCATTTCTTTTTAATTTACGGGATTAGACAGAAATCAAATACATTCATGCGTGTTACATTCAAAGAATCAATTAGTATTAAAGGTCATAGGAAACGATTCTTAACACTAGGTTTTCACTTTTTAAACCTAAAGCTATATATGAAAGAATGTTAAATTACGAGTAGTAATATTTTTTGGCCTTTGTCCTACTGAAAAATAGAGGTGAAAACTTTTCCACTTGTTACTTTTCTTACCCGCTTATCGTTCTTGATTTTGTGGTTTTGTGACGTCACAAGAGCCCACTGATGTAAACAGAGCATTAGACTAATGTATTTCTATCATATTTTATCTAGTTAATTTAAGCTATTTTTGTAAATATAAATGTGTCTATGTTTTCAGGTGAGTTATCTGATTTCGTAGTTAGGTCAATTCAGTTTGAGCGAGTCGTTAATAAGGCACGGCAACTCAAAACTGGAGCTTTTTATCGGAGGATGATCCTGATGAATATCCTACATGTATATAAAATTACGCTTAAATTAAGCTACAACTTCGATTACTTACTCTACATCAAACCTTCAGAAACAAAAAAAATACTTCCCTGTTTAATACACATATACGACATACCAAGAGGATTTCATCGACATTAAAAAAGCTATTTACTCGTTTTTTATTCCAAGAAAAATCGCATAATGCAACATAGAATAGAACAATTTATTAAAAGTGACCTTTCTGCTTAAAATAAAAATTTTGATTAAGCCTATAATATTCTATTAAAGAAAGATATATGATATGTGGGGATTATCCCTAACGTGATTTTCAAAAATAAACACGGGGGCCAGTGGTATTGAATTCCATGATAAGCGCTGAAAATGTCAGCGTCTTTGAAGTTTCGTTTTCACCGATCCGAAACACACATACTGCTGTAAAAACGATAAAGCAATAGATTCCCTGAGTTTATGACATGATCGTATTCTTCTATAAAATATATATATATACTCGTATATATATTTAAAGAAGAAATGTTGAACCCAGAGCAAATGAGATTGTTACGATGCCGATACTTTGTGCAGTCACGGTTTGACTCGACAATATCGATTTTTGAAATACTCGGTATGTACATGTAGTAGTAAACAGTACAGTCCGTGATCAGTTTGCAAATCCATCCATCATTTGCGAGACTACAATTTTAACATTAATGTTCTTTTTAACAGGTAATAAAACTTTTGAAATTATATCCTTTACAGAAAAAAAAACGTAAATATAATACACACTGGAAAAATAAATAGGTTTGTATACGATGATACTAGTAAGTACTTATCTTTGATAAATATTTTATCAAATTGACGGGACAGATACCTATCTTTTTTTTTGTATTTTATGTATTAAATTTTACAAAATTAAAAAAAAAAATGTCGATTTCTAATTCATTCAATATCTACATTTGGTAGAATCCCTATTCTTCATAGAAATATTTTCACATGTTAGAGCTGCCCCTTTTTTTTAATACATAGATCTACATATATATTTAAACGTCGTTTGTACTACATGTAACTTTATATAATGCTCATGACGTTTATAGAGACAAAGTGTCCTAAATTATTCAACACTGTTCAATAATGCTTACAATATGAACTTTCATCAAAGAATAACATGCTGAGCTTTTATTCATTGATTGTTTTAACTGATTAATGTTTTTAATTAAATCAAGAATAACTCACAGTATAATGTTAAGTGTTAAAAATTGCTCTTAAGTACTGAAATTCAATAACATTGAAATTTTTTTTCTTGTCAATTAAAATCAAGCAGTCTCCTTACATCTTAACTATACACGTGAATATACCTATAAATGTTTGTATTCTTAAAAATTATCATTACCATACATGTATCTATCATACCTATCGATGTATTATAGATGTTAATTAGAAAAGACTATCAACATAGGACAGGTAATTTTTATTACCAATTGAACGTATATTTAAAGAGCATTTGATGTTTATTTTTTCCAACCTTTATAATGAAAGTGAACAATGAATAAAATTTGAATCTTAGTATTACTGTGTATGAAATTCCAGTGAATGTGAAGAAAAAAAAACCTACATTAATATTGAATATTATTATTAAAAGTTTCATTCTTGAAACATTTAACAACTTCAGAGTATTTTTCAAACAAGGACAGTCTTGTTTTCAAAAGACAGAATCCGTTATTCTAAAATACCCAAACTTTTCAATGAAGCTTCCTTTACCGGACAATTGGAAATATAAAGGCATGCATCGGATCGATCTGGATTTTTTCTTTTTTCTTCCTTTTGATTAGACTTGGAGTATAAAATGTTTGTAGCTTTTTATTATTATCTTTATTTGCATTACTTTCTTTCACGTTTGAAAATTAATATTAAACAATACTCAATGTGCACACGGTGGATGTGACCGATCGACAGTGGATGCCTACTCCTACATGGCACATGATCCCACCTCTGATGTTTTTAGGGGTCCTTGTATGCTCTGCTCCCGATATTCGTATTGCTTCAATAGACTTTTGAGTTTGATTAGTGTTTTTTATCTCCATTTATTATACACTACTGATATTTTCCCTACATAGCATAAGATCGTTAGATGTTACTAATTCCCTAGAAATCGTTATGAATAGACTAATCCCCGTGGGTTAGTCAAGTGAACTAATCCCTGCTTCGAAGGCTAATTCCCAGTTATCCCTAATCCTCTAGATTTCACTTTTCCATTAGTATGATAGGTGAACGGACTAATCCCCGTGTGTTAGTTTATGATCAGTGATCCAATCCCTGCTTTAAATTAACACTATCTGAATCCTATAAATTTTATGTTTGTATCGGTATAATAAAACAGTTAAAAGTATATCATTGCAGGAGTTAGCAAGATTCCAGTTCCCCTCGACCAGGACTATTTCCCTCGGCTTCGCCTCGGGAAATAGTCCTGGCCTTGGGGAACTGGAATCTTGCTAACTCCCTCAATGATATAATTTAACTGTATAATATCACTCCATGAAGTTTATATAAGTCTTATTATTACCAGATAACCAGTGTACATTTTAAAAAAAAATGCACGTAATTTTATACTAATAAGCAAATTCTCTCCAGTGAAATATAATCTGGAAAAATACCATTTAGAAAGTCATTCATAACTATAAAACAAATCTAGTTATCAGTATTATCTGAACTCATGATAAGTACAGGGCAGAAACGGAATCACATATCCCTTTTCCCAAATATGAAGTTATATTTCATAATAGATAGCTTCATTCTGGCACTTTTTTTAAAAATAAGAAAACCTCAAATCGCTATTTTCACTACATGAAGTAAATAAAACATAAAAGATAGATGAAGAGTTTTTATGAATTTATTTGGAATGTATTTCAGTAAAAATTATGAATATTGCACTTGTTTCCTCTTAGGTGTTGTCAAATTTTCTACAAATTCGAATGCACCTTAATGGGCATGTGAACGACCAATAACACAGCAGGCAATGATGGCGGTGTGGCTGGTGTGGTCTCCCTGAAGAATCTACAAATAGAAAATGGCGCTATTATAATTTTTTAGATGACTTTTAAGTACATGCTTGTTAAATAGTCAGAGCTTGGTGGTGTTGACGAACCAAAATTGTTCGAAGATAGCACGTTATGTTACATGTTTATCATAAAGGACAAGATAAATCTACGACACTTGTAAATCGAATATTTTCAAGTGGAAGATTTACAACCACATATATGTACTAATTTCAATGTAATAACTTTTTTTCAGATTGCTTAAAGAAAAGCTGAAATGTCAATGAAAGATACAACGTATCTTCTTAAACATGTATTAAAATACAATGTTTTCTATTTGTGATTTCCAAAATTTACTCAGAAATGGGAAGCTAGTTATGTACACATATGTATTTGTTTTGTAATTATCAGCTTTTGTGGAATATGATGAAAGGAGAATTCAACCCAGCCACCCACCCCCTAAAAAATGAAATTAATGACGTAGATTTCAGCCTCTGTCAAACATTATAAGAAAACTTTTAAGACAATCAATTTTTGTCAACAACTTTACTTTTAATAATATATGCTAATAATGTTGAATCGGTGTATACTTACAGCCAGAGAACGTCCAAGAATTCCGTCTTCATGTCCAATAGTGAGCCAGTCAAATGTCCTAGTATCGGTGACGTTTCCATGATCGTCGTCATGGAGATCTCCAAGATCACCAGGGTTACTGTAAACAAAAATGGTTAACAGGTCAACAGGGAACGCTTACTCCTCCTAGTCGTCTGACCTTAAGATTGACCACTGTTCGTTATCTTCTCCTTTTTCATTGATCTTCTTTTGTATTAATGTTAACTTTTTAAATACTAAAGAAAGAGCTTTTATCAAAATCATTTTAAAATAAATATGCAAGGCAGAATTTTTTCTGGATTTCTAATCTGTTTTCTCATGAAAATCGTAGACAAAAACCAAGAACATTTCCAAAACGATATTAATGTAAAATAACTTCAAAATAAACTAATTCTCAAGTAAACTTTTTGCTGACTTACGCATGTCCCTGCACATGCTCGCCGTGGTAGAGTTCTCCGATGGTGTCACAGCCATGCTCCATATCTCCATACTCGTGGATCTGGAGTCCGTGATTATGGTCCTGGAAGTCATCGCTTGTATTAAAGCCAGTCAGGTGGAACGACATAGTGAGAGGTCCGTCACCCTGAAAATGCAGAATGATGGCTTTTATATGAATAGTTTCAAAGCTTATTTGAAATGTTATAGGAAAAAATATTCAGTGAAAAGTCGGGGTTTTTTTGTTAAAGAGGACAAAGGAACGACACTCTAATAAACATTGTTTGATGATTGCGAAAATAAACGGTATTGAATATGAGTCAAAAAGTTAACTGAAATTTTCAAATACATTATCATATTTCAATGACCGAGCCTTATCTTTTACATTCAGGAGAAAACCTGTTGGTTTTGCAAGAACATGTTTTTCATATGTTTTACTGATTAGCAGTTAAAGCTTTAATGTTAAGGAATTATTGATATATATTTTTCTTTCAGTTTCTCACAAAAATCATTTTATCTATATACTATTCATGTACTTTGAAGACCGAATAATTACAAAACTATGAAATATAAATCTTCATAATTGCAAAAATAAATAATAATAAATGCGCATGCAATTGCTGAAAAAAAATCTCTTTGAGAAAAACAGGTATTTTTCAGATAACAGATTTTTGGTTCAAAACATACCCGCTGTGACATTTCGATGCTTCCATGTACGTGATGGTGCAGACTAGCGGGTTGGTAAGGGTTTGGTTCCATTTCACATTGGGCGTAGTGCATTGCTGTTTAATGGAAACGTTATTTAGATATTTTTTAATAGTTAACACCAAATATTTACATAGATACAGAGTGACATCATTAAATATCTCGTATGTCAATATAAATTAAGAATAAAGAAAATAATTTTTTTTCCTCCTTTTTTCTGTAATTTGTGGGAGATACCAAATCCGACCAAAGGAACCTTTCACATTGAGATATACATGTATCTATATGGACAGACACGTATTTACACCCAGTCTGTCTTTTACATAAAGAGTATTTAATTTTTATGTCAATATCTGGTTTAAAATGTCTTATACATTAGCACACATATTGTACAAACACAGATGGAAGATATTAAAACTTCTTCAAAAAATATGAATACAAAAGTCACATTGTAAACGTACACTGAAAGATATGATGTTGAGAGTAGAATACTTCTGCAGTTACTGGAATTAAGCAGAATTTTGATGCATGGTATTAGAAAAAAAACAAATGTTGATGTGTGGAGTTATTGAAAGAATTATAATTTTGCTGTGGAGTTATTGGGAAAAATCCTATATGGAGTTATTGAATTTTTTTCTATATTTTGGTGTGTGCGGCTATTGAAAAAACAAAATTTTGCTTTACGGAGTTATTGAAAAAAAATAAAAGAAAATTCTACTATATGAAGTCATTGAAAGAGAGAAAATAAAATTGTCTTACTTGTGGCGTAGTTGGGGTCTACATCACTACTATCATCAGATAGATGCATATAAATGTGGATGTTTGCTTCATTTCTAGAAGCAAAAGCAACCCCTAAAAAATAGTAATGTATGAATAAAAAATGTTCATCCTTATATGGTTAAATAAATGTTATATAGTATGAAATAATATTATATAATATGATATAATATAATATATTTTTTGAAATAGTCATGTTTCAATGATTTATATTATATGATTGTCTGCAAAAGGGTAAGATTTAAATATATGTCCTTTCTTTTTTCAGAATTTTAAAATTATAATGTATACCTACATAGATATAGACACGTATATCATATACATCATTCATACAGAAACATCATTTGTTCATGGTTTTGGAAGAAAATTAATTTCTAGTCATGCAGTTGACCTAAAATATTTTTTTTCTTTTCATATGACCAGAGTTGATGGACAATAACTATAATCTTGTTACATGTTTATTGATTTCTTCGTCGATATTTTTTTTTTTTATTTTTATGCAATGACGAAAATTTGATATTTCTCATTGAAGTATTCTTTTTTTCATTTTTTAAGTAAAAAATATGCAAAGAAGGTAAAAGTAATTTTTATTTTCCTTTCAGAAGGTGTTGTTTATCATTTTAATTTTGTTCTTAATCTAGTTAGTATTTAATTTTGAACGACAATATATGTTGTACACTTACTTTGCAACAAGAACGTAGCCTAAAAAATTTAATATCTTGATTTACTTCTTTGACTTTTATAATTAATGCTTCTTTCAAATTAAAAAAAATCTTTCTTACGGGCATTTCTCAATTCATAAACAGATAATATTTAATAGAGTACGACTTACCAACGACAGCGACCAACAGAAGAAGAAGGGCGTTCATCTTTGCTGTTCCACGTTTCGTAGACTGGTGCACTGGCAATCAACAGATTATGGACAAAATGACATTTCAGTAGAATCCTTTTATAGCCATTTCTCAAGTGGTTTAGCCAATTAATTTTCAGATTTATATAACATACTTAAGAATCTTTAAATTGATCTTAAATAATATGCTATTTTTTCTGTCTAGAGCTCATTCAGCTAAACGTGGATTTTGTGCACTTTTATGTGTCATTATGACCCACTTGTTAAGTCTTTTTCATAGCTCTTCTGGGACTCTTTCCTCTTGTTTTTCATTGCAAATGTCCTTGAAACAAAGAATCTGCGCAGTATAATGTTTTCATACATATTAATCAGCTTTTTCTCGCACTATGCAAAATTAAAACAAACATTAATGATTCTTACAAAATAAAATATAATTATACATAAGCATAAAATAATTATTTTGAAGGCAGACTGTAATAACTGAGAATTCCTACAGAAAATTTCGTATTTAAATTAACTTTGTAGTTATTTCTATTTTTCTTGCTTAGCTGAGCACGATTATCGCTTGAGGAATGCAAGATGTATTTTGTACATTAGGATATGAATGAAGAAAACTTTTAATTAATTGTTTTATGTAAATTATTAGCCAAAAAATAAATTTGAAGCTGACTTTTCGTTTCAGTTTGTGGTCAAAGTCAAAGGTGTTATGGTTAAGCCAAATTCATTTGCATATTCTATGAACAAATCTTTTAATCAAAGTAAAATTGCATACATCATTGAACAAAAGTCACGCTGGTATAGAGGGAAAATGTAATTGCAAGTCCATTTAATGTATACTAAACTAAAAGAAATGTTAATAAAAAGAAATGTTTAGATATAAGTAAGAGGTTATTGATTATATATATATAAAAAATGGTAAATTACTGAATCAATGGATTCTTTATTGAGTAATCTCTTATTTAAAATTTGCATGCGTTTTGCTTGATTGATTGATTGATTGTATATGTATAAACTCGAATCTTTTTCAGCTATTTGATCACGCGTACTAATAATTTAACATTCCGACATTTTACAGGAACATGAACCTTCAGGTGTGTACAAGGAAATTATTTATTTTTAAATTGATACACATAGTTAAGAAACAACAACTGTTCATAGCTGAATGAGGAGACTGAAATACAATGCCTTGATTCAGATAAGATTTATATTTTGCCAACGTATATTACAGGTTCGGCATTTTGTTCAAAAGCATTTTTTCAACAAATCATTCACAGAGAAAAGAAAATCATCGTACTATTCTTAGTTTTACTGAATCTTGTCTTTTTACATCATTTGGATGGCAAACAAGATTGAATCCAAAATTTTATGGTTGTAAGGCTCATTTTTACAATTGCCTATTAGAGGACTTTGGATTTCATTATACTATGGGTAAACCAACTCATACTCATATTTCCGTTTCTAAGGATGAAATTCTTCAAAACTATTGGTCATTTGTGAATATTCGTAATATTCACAACAGCCAAACTGATTTCGAACTAATCTTATCTCTATTGTATTCAAAAATTGTATTGATAAAAATCTTTACAAGAAAAGATGTAGAGCGGGTTCTAATAGATGTTCCATCAAGTCTCTTTCTTTACTCCTCTTGAAAACACAAACATCTGCGAAATAGAAACTTCAGCAGTACTGTTCAACACCATATTCAAAAAGTGGTGTCAATCAGATGTGATTGTCTAAAAAGTAGGACTTTAGAAAATTTGAGATCTTACAATTTTACCAAAATTTGTAGCATTAAAACGCATTTATAGCATTTCTACAACAATTCCTCACAACAAATTAATGAGTATAGGCATGATAGATAACTATTTCTTCAACAAAAATGAAATCCGTAAATTTACATATCTTGTCTTTTATTATCTGTAAACCTATTTTGTTGAAAAACATTCTGATTCTACACCAAGCATTCCGAAGTTGACATCAAAAAGATACCTAACTTCTCATTGACAACATCTATATGCAATAATTGAAGTCCATTTTTTGGAATTCCCAAACAAACAACTAGAGTTTAGAAAACGTGATGACTTCAATTTTTCTGTCATCAACTTCCCTTATTTATGTAGCAATATACCTGCATACTGTTTTCATGTCTCCCAGTTGATACGCAAGAGCATGTTCTACGTACGATCATTTTCTAAAACGAGGCAGGCTACTTATAAATAAGTTGATGATACAAGGATATCAGCAATCTCTTTTTAATTCATAAATAAAGTCGAAATAAAGACCTTGTTCGCAAATAGAGTCCAGGTTATGTCAAATGATGACTGACGTCTTTCAATGAAATATGCAGATAACGAACAGTTATCAAGCTCAAAAGTCCATTAAAGCAATACAAATTTGGAGCAGAGCAAACACGGACCTCTAAAAAATCAGAGGTGGGATCAGGTGCCATTGAGGAGTATAGAAATATAATAGGCCATTATCATCTCAATTATCTACGGATTTTTCCGTTTACCCGAACATGACAAGGAGCACCCGGCGGGTGTGACTGATCGATAGGGGATGCTCACTCCTCCTTGACACTATATTTTTGAAGGTTTGCGTTTGCTCCGCACCTAATTTGATTTGTTTAATTGGACTTTGAGCATGATTACTATTCGCTATCTTCAGATTTAATGTCTACAGCAAATTGTGTTAAATTAAATCACATTATAATCCTAACAAAAGGATACTGGCAAACAATAGTCATATTACTGTAGTGATAACTTTGACACTGTGAAAACTATAGATATAACTATAGTGGTAACTTTGGAAATTTTTCATTTGTTATAGTGATCACTTTGACACAAAATAGCGGTAACCATGAAAATTTGATTTACTATAGTGATAACTTTGACGCTTTGATCTATAATACATGTAGTTCAGATGTTCCTTATATCGGTATGAGGTGAAAACTCGACACATTTTGGTTTGGAATACTTAATAATTTTTTTTATCAGTATGTCTTACCAATGTGCCATTTTAATAGAACAAAACATCAGTGGGGCTTCCATTGAATCAGATTTGTACATATATTTAAAGAAAACACGTATTGGATTGTGAGACAGACCTGTTTTTGCAATAAGAAATATCTTGCCAATATCAATCATTGAATAAATGAGGTTTCCAAGTTAAAAATGGAAGGCACTGCAAGCATACAAAGTAGATGGAATTTCTTTATTGTTAATTAATGCATTACATGAACTGTAACAAATGAAAGAAAAAAAAATTCTACAAAATTGGAAAATATCCAAGTTGTGAAATTATATGTTATTGAGACTTTCTATGATTTTTTATGATTTGTCGATTAAATCCAGGGTTAACGTTGGCATTTTAAATTATTAAAGTACGTTATCACTTTTCACAATTTTTATTTATTATAGAGATAACTTCGACAATTATTTGACTGAATTAAGCTATAATTAACTACAGCTAGTGAATTATAGTAAACCATTTTTTTTATTTAAGATATTGAATTGACCTGCTTTTTATTTATTTCGAAACAGATGAAATTCGTTAAATTCACGCCATCTGAAAATCTTGAAAGAAACTAAGAATTTTGTTCCCTTATTGAACCATACAATTGTTGGATTTATGACTATATTCCCATTAACGCAATAAAATGTCTATTACTTTAAAACTGGCCGATACAATACCTCGCATACTAACAGCATTCATTTGATCAAATTCGCTGAATTTCGATATGAAGTTCTAATATAAAATATACTGACTTGACAAACTGAGTTGACAAACTCGTTTAGCTAACGACCACTTTGACTGGGGTACGCCTGTCTGACCTTGAAGTAACGTCTAAGTGCACAATGCACAAGATGCATAAGGTCATTGACTTTGCCAAGTTTCCTTCAGTGCTACTTGACATACCAAGAGTAATCCCTTGTTGGACTGTTTTGTGGATGACATTTAAGAAGTTTGTCCTTAGGATCAATTAGGCATCTACTTTTTTCCCTTCTAAATCAGTTCACGTATACCCAAAACTCTCGAAAATACTTAAAAGTTATGAATTGCACTTCCACTTTTCAGTTCTCAATCAGTTAATGAAACTTGATACCATTCAATTGATGAGGCACTATTACATGTATAATATTAGTTCAAGATTAAACTGGTACTTGAGGTTATATATATATATATATATATAGAGAGAGAGAGAGAGAGAGCACTTTTGTTGTGTAGATCTTCGTAAATTAGGTACTTATTATTTTAAATACACGTTTCCTAAAGGGCCAAGACTTTATGGAAATTTTAAAGACATAGATATGACATCTTTCCAAAGTAAAAACGAATTTTGAAGCTTTTTTCTGCATTCGGAAAAAAGGCTTTCATACTCTCATACAATTTTACTATAAACAGACTGCATATTTTATCTTCAAAGCATTGGTTGCTAACACCGCGTGTCAATTTAAGGACATACGCAACGTACCTTACCTACTGATAATTTTTCAAGATATTCTTACTTTAAGATTATAGTGCCATCAGATGTTCATAGACAAAAAATCAGCATGCATTACCAGGGGTTTTGAAAAGATATCAATTAATTAAAATTCATGTATAATTCAAAGAAAAATATACAAAAATTACTAAACATATATTCTAGATGTTTTGTTTATCCAAACTTGTTTTAGAAGAATTGTACAACAGCATATATAGACATTAAAATGTAGCACACAGTTCCTTTAAAAATTGGAACTCTTCAACTCCAGGGGAAAAGACAATAAAGTTCAAACTACATTGCGTATGTCCTTAATTTCAACATAGATTCTGTTACATGTAGAAAGTACGATTGGATAGAGTTGCAGAAGGCTACGGTTAAAAAAAATTAATTAATTAAAAGCAGATGGCAGATGACATTAAGTTTATAAAAAAAAATATTGACAAAATTTCAAAAAAACTACCAAACAAACATCAACTGGGAGCGATAAAAGGGGAAACAAATGAGTCCAGTTCTGCATCATTAATTTCTTTGATTCATCGATTTGGGACTCAAAAACTTATTAATCTTTTAGTTTCAAAAATGTATTTCTGAACTACATGTATTTCAAAGATTCTTGCAATAATCAAAGAATCTAATTTATAACTAATATTATTATTATATTGAAAATTGTATCCAATCTTTGTAAAGATCATTTAACACTTTCAAATACTATAGATTTCTAAATATACGCAAGGAATTAATTATCACGTAATTTCGCAAGAGGCACCACTCGCGAAATAAAATTACTTGATTTTATTTCCATGGTGCTGAAATAAATGTAAAATCTCTTGATCAATTAATTAGGGAGACTGCTGTTCTGCCTCAGGGAATGGTGAAATTTGAATAGAAGGAAAATAAGGTTTCACTTAGTTTTTATGCTTATTCATAAACAATTTTGTAAAATGATAATTATAACCTTGAGTACTTTTCTCGTCTTTGGTAGATTTTTTTTCTTTTCTAGTTCGTCACATAATTTTGACTTTAAACTTATCCTAGAAACCTGTGATTATTCCCTCTGCACATTTTGAGTATTTTCTAAATTGGAATCGCCATAATCAGTTAACTTTTCACAATATCTCTGGTCATCATTATGACCTTGCTTGTAAATACAAACTATTGCTTGGTCATATTCTATTAAAATATTGTTCAAATTTAAAAAAAAAAATGTCAAAACCCTTAATAATATCACAAAATATAAATCTAAGATATTTTTTTCAAGCTATAATGGTCTAAAAAATTTTTAGAATTGGTTACAGGTTTAAGTCTTTTATGTGGTAGCAAATTTTATTGTATTCGGCTAAAACTGTAGTAGTAGCTCATGTAGCATTATGAGAGAGAAAAACAGACGGGGGTGACAAACACATAATATTTTGACCAGCAGAGCTAAAATTTAAACTCAAATACTCCCACTGCGAAATTTTTTCTCACTGAAAAATTTCCTCATGAGACAGGTTACTAGATGGTGTAAATATGAATGTCTCAACCAAAACTTTTCTGAAATTTTTCACACAGAATCTAAATAAGTGCCAACCAAGGGAGATGGGGCCTTAACACTCTCACCCCCTAGTCACTGCAGGGGGGGGGGGTCTTTACTCAAAACTTGTACTTTATTGTTCATTACATAGAGTCTTCTGTCCTATTCCATCACTTCACCTTCACTTACATAGCAAAAGAGCATTAAGATCATAATACTTTTTTCAGATGTTTTAATTCAAATGGTTGATATAGGTGAAACATGAGAAGACACAAATATAAAATGACAGTTTACATCTATAGAGTCAGTAGCACTTGTTCCTATCCTATGTGACACATCAATCCATTCTTCCCTTGAGTTCTGTAGTTGTGACTTTGTCTTTCTCACTGTTAATTAAAGTATTCAGTTTAGTTTTGACACAGTTACATAAAGGTTACCATAGAGTTACAGTGTTACCCAGAAGTTATACATGCAATTCAAAGATAATAACAATATACTCAAAAATATTTTATCGACACTATTTTGGCATTGTAAATTTTTTATACCATTTTTTCGCATTTTTCTGCTGGTTTAACTATTATAAAATTAAGTTAAATTTTGATTGTGTTGCTCCAAAATTTGTATTTATATAAACTGCATTGTTTATCAATTATGTGCAGTGATACTTAGATATCATAACTGTTAAGATGACCAAACTTAGATATTACAATTTTTTGACAAGGTATTTCAATGTAACAGAACATTTTTCCATGTGCATAACTTTTGTAAAGTCTGCCCAGCTGAGGTCAGCCGACCAAATCATTTAATCAACGGAGGACTCATACACACGATTTTTGCAAGCCAAATACATGAATGCCCATCTTCTTAGGTAATTAATATTTTAAAAACTATATTCAATACATATACATGCAAAGAGAGATAACTCTTTATACACAACTGGATAAATTGTGAATTTAGCAGCAAAGACAACTTCTCCAAAATTAGAAAGAATTACGCATGGTAACTCCCGATTCCCGCCTACATCTTACAACCATTTAATTCAATATTGATGACAATTTGGCCATAAAATCTTTGTTTAATACAAAGAACAGTTCAATTGTAATTGATTAATTATTTTAATTCCAGTGCTAAATAGTAAAATATCCCTAATTCCAGATCTTGAAATAAGGGGGGTAGACGATATTTTCCACTGAATATAAAGCATCACCATATTCTGAAATAGTCTTGGGTATGAATAAATGTTTCTTAAATCTTTTTCTTATGTTTTATGCATATAAAATTAAGCATATATATTAGTAAAATATAATGTTTCAGTTGTAAAGCACTTGGAAATTGCTGAAAAAATAAGCATTTTTGTCGTTTTTTGTATATAAACATGTTCCCCCCCCCCCCCCCCCATGAAACACAAAAAGCTTTGGTATGAATTTGTGAAATGACAGTCCATATTACCCGTAAAAAGGAATTTTTGTTTCACGGGGGGGAAAGATGTTTTAAAAATATTTTCCGTTTTCCGTTGATTTCTATAGTGAAAAACACGAGTTTTACCAAAATTTTAGAGTTATCTTTCGTTGTTTTCCCAAAGAAGTAATGTTTTATGAAAATCCATATAAATATCAATATAAATATTAAAAATCATTCGAATATCTTAAGTTTTGAAAATTGACTTGGAGGTAGGCGGGAGAACAATACTATCGTTCGCAGTTCTTTTATTTCTAATTTAAATGTACATACTTTTCCACAATGCTTATACTTGTATAATAATTCAAATTGATAATGCTTTGTTTCACATGACTTACATGATATGAACAATCCCTCCCCAGCCTGACACTGCATCACGATCTACAGCATTTAGCAGGGCTTGAGATATAGACTCAAACAGTTCCTGTGGCTCCTAAAAATATACATATACATGTATTAATGAGATCTATAATCAACATATTTTCATGTCCATTCAAAGATGTATCAAGGATGTATATTAATTAAATGATCATGTTTAATTCTGTCAAGATGAAACCAAAAATATTCTTTAATTATTGTTGCAGGAAAAATATAGGGGTATGTTAATTAATTGTTACGCCATATCAAAAATCTTTTTTCACAATCTTTTGTAAAATAGTTTTTTTTTTCAGATTAAAATTTGCAAATGAATCTTAAAAATAAAATATGTATGCAAACGATGAAGTTCAGAATTGAAATAAACAATAAAAGCTTGAAATAAAAGCATTTTTTCAAGATTTTTAATAGGATACTGTATGTGTACATAAGTTGGCATATTCAAAATTTAGTGCAATCACTGGGTATGGAGTTGTTGGCAAAATCATGAATTAGCGCTATACATATCCGTTAGTATTTTGTATTTATAAATGATTTCTTAGCGGTATTCATGAATTAACGCACCGTTGTCTGTGCCAAATCTGCTAAAATATGAAGCCTGCTTTTTTAAGTACACATACAGTAATTATAAGTTAAAAGTCGCTCTAGGTAAGCTTTAACACTTATTATGTAATATCTTATAAATACATACCATGTTTGGCTCCCAGACGGACTCACACATGCCATACATTTGTTCTGAACAAGTTCCACTAACAACAAAATCATCTGTAACCATGGGGCAGCCAATCAAATCCATGGAGGCAATGAAAGGTTCAAAGGTTTTAGGGTCAAGTCCAGCAATGACTGGTTCAACAAAATAAGGGCCAAATCTGTTCAGAGAAAAATGACTATAAGAAAACTTTTAGGTCAGAGAATTCAAAGCATAGAAGTTACATTGTATATATTATGGAATATAAATGTACAGTCCCTTTTATATACATTTGGAAATATAGAATTTTTTTTAAGCAATAGATGACGAGGAAAAAATAACCTATGGCATATAATATGATATGGCAAACATGAAAACTACAATTTTGTTTCAATGTTGGTAGAAAACCTATAGGGGCATTTTAATTCATCATCATTCAAATATGTAGCTGTGTACAGCTGAATAAAATAAAAATTTACTGATCTATGAAATTTCTTTACATCTTTTACAAAGTATACGGTTCAGTCTAGCTTCAACTTATTAAATGATATCATAAATGAATAAAGACAAAAAGAAATACAAAAAATTTACTATAATTAAATCTTAAAAACATAAGGTTTGCTGAACAATTAATTCTTCATCTGACATTAAATCTGTACACACATGCACACTTAAAGAAAGTCAAATTAACTTTACCTCCTTTCATATAGAAGATTTGACACCATGCTTAGAAATGTTTTAGGTTTAATTCTTCTGTTTTCTCGTAATTCGTATAAATTTAATCTGAATTCAAGACGCTGATGCCTGCAAAAAAAAAAAACAGAAACAATGAATTCAATACATAGGTCATACTAATACTTTTACATATATATTGATTTTCAAAAGCTTACTTGAAAAACTGGAAAAAGATCTCTATATGTTTTATTTTTTTAGTTTGTTTTTGGTAGGGAGAGGGTGGGGGAGGGGGTATGGTCAATTTATCAATAACAAAATTATGAATTTCAAATCACAAGACTGCTGTGAAACACACATATAGCAGGCTTTCTCTTCCTGCAAGCAAAGAACTTGTTTACAGATTGAAATAAGCAGGACACATACACTGTTTGGACATCTGTGGCCAGACCAGGTAAACCAATATAAAGTCGAGGTCCCATCTCAAATATCTTCTGGAAGTTTGTACTGACAGTTTGTGCCTGTATTCCGAACCTTCGGTCTGACGCTATGGCGACACAGTCTCTGCCTTTCATGGCAATGATAGCTGCTCCATTATATTCAAGAATCGACTGAAAAAAAAAGCAATAGAAAACTTAAATATTCAAAGAAACAATCAAAAAATTAGAAAAGGATCTCAAGTGTCAGCTGAGTTTCACCATTCATTGTGACTTTTTTAAAGGCTGGAATGAGAATCAGATCCAGGACTCCTGCATGAAGCAGCTGGATACTTTAGCCTGCAGAACTGTAGCTCTCTGATTGAGAAAATTTGGACATATAAACCAGAATGCTACAGCTAAATAAAGCTATATAGCTACTTTAAGCTATATAGCTAAATCAAGAGATTGTGGTGGACCTGGTTAATCAACTTAAAGCAGAATGATGGGAATTATTATGGTTCTACTCTTTGAATCCAATGAAATTTAAAGAGAGGTGAGAAATTTTTCTACGCAGAATATATATTCATTATCATATAGAGAACATTCCCCGGTGGAGTGGATTTTCTTTTAATTGAATTTAGAGAACCTGCTTTTGGACCATTTTCCACTGACACCGTCCGGCACACGTTCTTTTAATGTTTACTTTTACACTTCATAGAATTCACGTTGAATTTTTATTTTCTCTGAGAAGAATTCTGTAAGTGAGTTACTCAAACCATAAACTGCTGAATAAACAAACGGAAAAAGAAAAAGACAAAAGCTAAACCTACCATGTTTCAGTTCTTGCAAGTCACCAGCAATCTTAGTTACAATCTCGATCCCGATCTGCACAAAAAAAATTGAATTTTTTGGTGTATCATCTATTCTCATAAATAAACATATTCATATCATATGAATATGATAAAACAATGACTTAAAAGTTTATTTTTTTCTTTTTTAAAGAATAACCAGTATATATAACTCGATTTTTATTTTAAATCGGGATCGAAATTGATTAAATTGTAAAAGACAGCAAAATATGCAACCGTGCCGGAATTCATGAAAGCAAAATCGATATTTCTTTTTTCCTTTAGAACATAGTTTTACTAATCGGCCGAATATTTCAAAATGTTATTATCACTTCTAGATCCCTGGGGTCCTATTACGAGATGTCTTGAGAGTGTGTTCATTCGCCTATATCCTGGCGCGGCCCTTGATTTTTCCCCATTTTACCAATGGTTCTTTACGGTAACTAGTGGGTTCGCCCCGATTACATGTTCGCTCTGAGTTTTTTCGCCTCCAGTTGTGTCGCCGTAATTATACTTGCAACCTTGTGTGGATTTTAGCAGTGTGCTATGACAAATCGCCAATGTTCTATGTTTGAAGTTTTTACTTGTGTCTTATATGAAAGGTTTTTTTTTTTTTTTTTTTTTTTTATTGTAACGTTATCCAAAGCGATTTACCAGTTTAACAGTTATATACATCTGATTGTTTATTGGAATCAAATTGAAACGACTAATCTAATTTTATTTATTTTACATATTGTAAAATAGATGAGTTGTTATTTTCCCGTGCTTATGATATTTGAAAAGAAAAGTTCTTCTCCTCTGTCGTTACTCGTTAAACTGAACGGCAACTTATAATCATGATAATTGAATTTAGTTTAAAATGATCATTAATTTTGTTAACCTAAAACCTGCTGATCAAACGACTTTTGCTTAACATGCTTAAATAAACATCAAGTAGTGTACACTGATTGAAGAAATCACGTGGGTGAATCCACTTGGGGCGAACAGGGAAATGATGCCAAACCACTCAGAGCGAACAGGTAATGGGGCAAAACCACTCGGATTCTTGTTTACAACATATTTCGAAGGTGACGTTTTGACAGTTTTTAAATTCTTCGTAAAGTCATTTGTTGAGCCTTTAAATCTTTGACTTTAGGAAGTCATGCAAATGCTACATACAGTTTAATATATGTATACTATCTAGGCTTCCCACCGCCTGCACAACTCTTTTTAGCTATGTTTTTAGTGAAATTAGGTCCCTGGTATTTTAGCTATTTTTAGCATATTTGGAAAGTTTATTTTCTGTTTAGCATTTTTAGCTCTTTGTTGACTTTTTTATTTGTTTAACCTCTTCCCCAGAACTAATGGATCAGCTTTACTTTAGTGACTGAAAGAAATCAGTGATAGTAGGCCTACAAATCATAGGCACCGGTGGATTTTTATCAGTTTTATAAAGTATAAACCACTAGAAGGACTGTCAAATCTGTAGCTAGTAAAGCCTCATGACATGTAACTAGGCACCCGTATAGCAGCTCAAGGTCAAGATTTATGTTTTCAAAAGTAGGTCAAACTCCAAGGTCAAGGTCATGACTTTCAAAAATAATTGTATCCAAAGAATGCAGGTCTTGTCATAAGGAATATGCAATGTCGTTGTGACCACAGGCACTTTGTCTGTAAAGAAAGTTTACCCCATTGCATAATAACATGAGTATTTAACTCGATCAGAATTATACATTCCCCCCCCCCCCCCCACACCCAACACACACACACATACACACACACTTTCCTGAGAACTGCTGTCATTTTCGCCTTCAGAAAAAAATGTCTTTTCTTAATTGATTTCTTTCCACTTATTTAATTCTTTAAATGTTCAAAATAAATCAAACAAAAAAGGTGAACATTGTTTACAAATTCCAGACACAAACTGGGACATTTGATATTCTACTGACTGTTCTTCCTTATCTAATTTAATACATGTACATGTATTTATAGTGTTTGAATAATATGTACATATATTGCACTATGATTTTTATTCACTGAAATCCCCCCCCCCCCCTTAAAATAGTATTTTTGCTTCCTTATTATGGTTCTTATGCTAGCAATAAATTTCCTTGTTTTTTTGTTGTTGTTTTTTATCCCTGAACAAATAGGAATTAAAATATGTGTTCAGAATATATTTTTCATTTATAATAATTAAATATCACATACATGTATATTCAAATGGAGTTATTGTTTTAAAAGATGATTGCTGCGTGGTATGTATATTAGATATCATTTTAAAGATTATTTTTTCCCTTTCAGATTTAAATGTAACCCAATTTAACAAAAGTTACAAGAAAGTTCTTGCTGCACAAAAATATGAATGCTTGAATCCCAAGAAGATTTAAAAGAATACGGGAAAAAAATGTGATTTATCGTCAAGGATATGTGGCTGTTTATCATATATAATGCAACTTAAGATTATGTGAATTACCAGAGATATTTTGATTTGAATTTCTAAGTTATATCAATTAAAATGTCTCACCCAGCATACAGTGAAAATGGTTATATACCAACTTATGGTGAGTCATTGCATTGATTTAATTAACAATTTACAGTGCAGTTTTAATTACTATTTTGAGCAGGAAAATTTGTTGTTGAATCAACATTTATACATTCAAACTCGTTATAATTTGATCAATCACTTTTATAGATGTTATTTAAAAAATGTATGTAAAAATAAAAATATTTTTTAAAAAATATTTTTTAAAAACATTTTCTGAATGATATACATCATTTTTCATATGTATATATTTCTTTTAGGAAACCCTATTCAAAAAGTCAAACGAAATTCCAGTTTAGATGCTAGAGTGGTCCAGCAACCTTATACCTTTGTTCAAAATGGAGACCAAATTTTTAACAGGCAGTCATCCTTAGAAATTGATGGTGTTGAAAACATGGACACGAATGATGATCATTTATCTATCCAGGTTGTCAATGACAACTCAGGGTTTGAGTCTGAGGGTGTAGAACCAGGCAGTCTGTCATCTGGGCACCAGTCAGGAATTAAAGCCAAACCTGACTCATTACATAGGTATTAAATGTACATGTAGCCAGTACAGGTATCTTAATATGCTTGATCTTTAACCTTGAGAAGTGGGTCAAAAGACCTTGAAAAGTGGGTCAAGATCAAATGTTACACTTAACACATAATATAGCATGTTTTAGTATGCAAACACACATGTACATTTCTTAAAATATATGTTTCCAAGCTAATTTGAAAATTGAATATAGTGAATATAGTTGAAATATATGATGAAAACATGGCATTGCATAATAAGAAGTTTCATTGCAGATCTGTTGTTTTCTGGTCAGAAAAATTGGGTTGAATGGCCATCTCACTTTTTTCTGAGCAGTGAGCTACTGATCTGCAGCTGTAAGAAATTGCTATGCAGCAAGGATGCACGTTAAGTTTACATAAAGAAAAAGCATCAGAGTCAAGCTGGAAAAAATCTAGCAATCAAAATATTGATTAAGGGAAACAGCTAGAGAGGTGCACACTTGTCTTGTATCCATCAGTAGAATATGATAAAGGAATGGGGAAAAAATATTGATTACTAAGTATATTAATTGCTGAAATTGCAACTCAACTGAAAATGAGGGAAGGTATATATGTAAATTATGTAATATTTTTTTGTGAAAATACATTTAGTTACAATATGCTACAATTTGAATCATTATACAAATACATGTATAATTCTATTACATATTTCTTTAATTCAAACATAAGATATTTTCTTTTTGTAGACCAAAACAGACCGAGCCAATTTCCATGCCTCGAGCCCTGTTCAAATCTACTGACTATAAGATGGACCATCTCAAAAGAGGAAGGGCCCTTATTATCAACAATATGACCTATGCTGATGTTCGACAGAGACCAATGCGAGACGATTCGATCAAAGACGCCTCAGCCGTGGCAAACTTACTGGAGAATTTGCTGTTTGAGCCAGTTACCCAGAGCTGTGGTAAAAAGGACATCGTTGTCAACGACGTAACATCAGTGCACCTGGAGAAGCTTATTCGTGATGGTACGTAATTTTTGTCTTTAATTAAGAACCTTTTATCATCCACTGTACACTACACTAAAGAGTTCTGATTCTGAGGTATTTTTATGCAGTTAAGAGTTATCTGCGGATAAATCTAAAATAAGATGAATTAAAATCTACAGTGCACTGTTCCATTTATAATCAATTCAAGCATTCTTAACGTTTTGAATTAATTGAACACTTAATTTATATGCATTTATTTTCCTAACTTAAGTAAACAATAGTGATTTCACTTAAGATAAATGGTTAAGGTACCTATGATGAAAATGAAATAGATACATGTAAGCTCATTATTTTATTTTCTCCTGAATACCCAGTGCTGATATGTACATGTATGTCTCTTACAGTATAGCATTTTGAATACTAAGTACACTGTTATTGGAAAATTAAATAAATGTATTCTGCTAGTTGCAATAGCTTAAATAAATGTATTCTGTTAGTTCCAATAGCTCAAAAGAAACAAATTCAATGATGATTTTCCTTTTAATTTTTTTTTTTAAGCGACCAATCCTGCACTGAATGACTACAGTGATTATGACTGTTTTGTACTGGTCGTCCTCAGTTACGGAATAGATGGCGCTGTAATGTGTCCTGACAGTACAACTGATAAACTGATTCCTGTTGAACAAATCATAGAGCCATTCAAAGCCGACAAATGTCCGTCCTTGGCCATGAAGCCCAAACTTTTCTTCATGCAGGTAATTCTTCAAGTTTATAATGGTCAAATTGTGATATGAGGTTAAAAAATTGATTACTGATAAAAGAATTATAAAAAAAAAGTCAATGTTTTTGCAAATGCTTTTACAGTGTGTTTGATTCACTTATTCCATTTGTTGTAAATGAAACAAATAATCAAGAAGGATTTCGTTTGTATTTAAATTAACATATTTTGACAATGGAATGTCTGATTTTATTTGAACACTTTGGTCATTGGATTTTCAAAAGACAGTAATGTGTAAAAACAAAAAATTTTTACATCTATCTCTAAAGTTGTAAGCTAGAGAGATACCGGGGTATTTTTGATCAGGCTTGAGCATATTTAACAGAACTTTTGAAAAAAAGAGTAAAATTGCTCACTTTAAAAGCAATGTAGTACAGTTAAAGGGAGACAACTCTTAAAAAATGGACTGAAAATTATTTATCGAGTCAAAAAAAAAAATAATTCATTGAACAATTTCAATAACTTTGACTCTCACTGTTCATACTTTTAAACAGTTACTCCTCAGTACATGTATATTTTTTTCTATTTTGATCAAACATTTATGTATTTCAGTTGTGTCCAGCCTTCACTTACAATATAGCTGACTCTCTAACTGGGAGTGGTGCGACCTCAACAGAACCAGAGCTCCGCAAGATTCCCACAGATTCTGACATACTTGTTCAGATTTCTACATTACCAGGTGATTATTCTGACCCTTTGATCATAATTAGGGATGGGTATCGCCAAAAATTACGTTTCGCGATATATATCACGATTTTTTCCCAAAATATCACGATAATATCATGATATTCTTACAAGCAGTTTTTACAATGATTTTAGATAAATATTCATAATTTTTCCTAAAAATATGCTGGAAAAAAATAGCCACTTTTTTTGAAATTCATTTATTTTATTTACATAGTATAAAGCATGTTTGGATGCTAGGGTGCCGTTCTTTTACACTTTTAACATTTTTACACATCCTGTTATTGTGATTTGAAAGATTAATCAAATAAATGAACAATTTCTGGAATTTATAATTATGTACCTAAATACCAATATTTTAGTCTCCACATCACGATACGTATCATGCAATTAAAAATCGCGATATACCGGTATACCAATAAAATCACACATCCCTAATCATAATCATTTTACAATTTCAACTCCTGTTAAGTGAAATGTAGAAGAAGCATTTTGAATTTCAATGTTACATTTTCAGATACATGTACAGTAATCAAGGTTATAGGGAAATCTTTGGAGTCAGCGGAAAATGTCATTTTCATTTATCCAATTAAAATTTTGCATTTTGTAACTCTTGAAAAAAATTTTATTACAAATGTTTTATTTAGGTACATATGGTTGGTATGAGGATGACGATGCATTGTCTTGGTACATTGAGGGATTAAAAGAAACGTTACAGAAAAACTGTTATGATCCCTTACGGAGAGGTCAAAAGTCACGAGAAATTTACGACATCCTTCTCCACGTAAACAGACTTTATCTTGATAAACTCAGAGAGCAAGGAATCTGCCCCAGCAAGAGTTATTCAGCGCCTGCAGTGACATCCACTCTGACAAAAGACCTGTATTTTTTGCCAAAAAAGAATGAGGGTTCAAGGATGTACTAATTTCTTTTTTTAAACCATGCTTTTTAGCTCACCTGAGCTGAAGGCTCAAGTGAGCTTTTCTGATTAAAATTTGTCAGCTGTCTGTTGTCCTTATCATTGGCGTCGTCATTGTCGAAAACTTTCTGAAAACATCCAGTTTTTAGGGTAATAAAACCAGAACTGTACCCTCTTTGCTCAAACCATGACCCCGGGGGTAGAGTGGGACCACAAAGGGTGATCAAAATGATCAGGAATGTATAGGAAAAATCAATAATAATCTTTTCTCAAGAACAAGAAAGCCATGATTAGTCATTTTTATATAAAAGTATTCTTAGGTAATGTATATTCAAATTTGTTCAAATCATGATGTCCCAGGAGTAGAGAGGGGCCATAACAGTGGATCAAAGTTATACAAAGAAATATATAGGAAAAGTCATTACAAATCCTCTTAAGAATAGCAAAGCATGATTAGTCATATTAATTCAGAACTATCATCAGGTAGTGTAGATTCAAGTTTGTTCAAATCATGTTCTCCGGGGATAGGGTAGGGGCACAATAGAGATCAAACGTATAGAAAAAATTTTTTTTGAAAAATCTTCTAAAGCAATGAGTCAAAAAAGTAAAAAAAATATGGAAGCATGCTCAGTTAGTGTAGATTCAAATGTGAACAAATCATCCTTCCCCTCTTTCCCCCGGGTGGGGTAATACTGAATTGATTTTTGCTTTTTCTTAGCCAATGTGCTTAGGTGAGCGATGTGACCCATAGGCCTCTTGTTTATGAATACTTGTATGTTGGCAGCAACATACTGTGCTTTGATGAATTTTTCAAAGTTGTTACCATAATACATGTAGACAGAATTAATGTTTGTTGTTGTTAATTTCATGATATCAATTTTGTTAAAAGTTAGTTACATGTACATATACATATGTGTAAATATTTACATTTACAACTGTTTTTTATGTAATAACTCTTCAAAAGTTAAGCATGTTGGTTTCTCAGTATTTACAACTGAATGCAAATTTCACCAAGTGAAAGGCCAAGTGCTAAATTTGCATGTAAATTTCACTGGCTGTTATTTGGCATAACCTCAGTGGACAGGGACTGTGGAAATAAACATGGAATGCATCGTGTATTTCATATCTATTAGACAGCATTTATTATTATAACTCCCCCCCCCCCCCAGGCTTGAAAAGCGGGGGTTATATAGTGGTGGAGGTGTCCATGGGTCTGTCTAGCTGTACTTGCGTCCATCTGTTATGCATTGGGGTACCCATCTCTTTTCCGCATTTCCTTTTTTTGTCACTAAATAAACTTTCATGTAACTTTCACAGAAACTATTACATACTGCCATTGTGCACCTCCTATTTTACTTTTTGATTGGACATATATTTCGAGTTTCCCATGGCAAAATGTGGACACTGTCATTCTTTCAATGATATTGGGGGTACCCATCTCTTATCCGCAGGTTCTCCTATACCACTGAATAAAATTTAGCGATACTTTCAAAGAATCTTTTTTTGCACAGTGCCATTGTGCACCTCTAATTTTACTTTTTGATTGGACACATATTCCAGGGTCAGGGGTTCTGAAATGTGGGAGGGGGAAATCTTTATTGATTATATAGTGGTTATATAGTAAAGTGCATTATATCTTCTCTGCTCCTGGGTATGAAGCAAAACAAAGTAAGTGCATAGTTGTGTCTTTTCCAAAATTGTGAATTTCATGGCCTTTGGACCAGCGGGGTGTGGTATTAGGCCAGGGTTCCATTGATTATATGGTGAAAATGAATTAATTCTTTGAAAATCTCTGCTCCTGAGTAATACGCAGGTAAACTAATTGCATGGTTTTGATGAGCAAGTGTGCTCCTTCCAAAATTATGAAATTTGTGGCCCCAGAGTAAGGGTTCATGTGTGTGTCACTGTGTGTGTAAAGGGGGCTGTATTGATAATGTTAAAGAAATGCATTTCTTTGGAAATTTCTTCTCCTTGGCATTAAACAAACAAACTCTATGCATAGTTATAATGCTCTTCTAAAACTGCAAATTACATGTACATGGCCTCTGGGTCAGGGATTTTGATGTTAGGGCAGGGTTCTATTGATTTTACAGTAAAAGTGCATTATTTCTTAGAAAATCTTCTCAGCTCCTTGTTATTTAGCAAATAAACTAAGTGTGTGGTTATGATGAGCATTGTGCTTCTACAAATATTATGAATTTCATGGCCCCTGGGCCAGGGGTTCTGGTGTTAGGGCAGGGCTCTATAGTGAAAATGCATAGATTCTTTAAATATCTTTTTCTCCGACTCTGGGTATTTAGTGGACAAATTAATTGCATGGTTACGATGAGAAAGGATGCCTCTTTTCATAATAAAGAAATTCTTAGCCCCTGGAATATGATATGAAAAGCTTCATTTGAATTCCAAGCAGTCAAATATTTTTGAGAATGTTTTAAATTTATAACACCCCCCCCCCCCCAAAAAAAGAAAGAAAAGCTGCTTTAACTGTATTGATACTTCTGGGACAAAAGCAGTGTCATTTCAAAGATGAGGCAAATTTTGTGGATTAAAAATCAAAATACAGAGTAGGCCTTTGCATTTAAAAGAAAGAAAAAGAAAAGACCAACAAGAATACTGTTCCAATTAGTTTTTTTTTTTTCAAGCCCGTGCGCTCTGCCTCCATCTTAATATTAATCATTATGTTAAATCAATATATGTAGATTAAATGAATATTATCTATTTCTAGACTTTAAAGGTATTGTAACATCTGATATAATGTAATATACGTGTATAAAAAATAAAATGAAATGTTAGATTTTTGTGTTTTAATGTATTCATTTGTAAAACGAAAATCTCCTTAGTTTCTAGAATTTGCGAATGTTCTAAAGATAGGACTTTTCTGTAAATCAATCGCGTTTCAAAGCTATCAAAAAAAAACTACTTATCGACTCCACAAAAATAATAGAGATTTGAATAACTCCGCCATAATTGATAGCGTGACACTATATGAAATATAGACAATCAACAATGTAATGACGAACCAGGGGTAGACAAGTAAACACAAACTGTTTTTAACAGGTTCAGGGAGAAAAGCGAGGAAGAGATTAGGCAGATATGGCGAGAAGTAAAGAAAAAATTATGTTATAACAATGTCATGTTCATTAACAACGTGAGGTAATCCAAAATCGGTGAAAATTTTTATTTACGTACATGTATATCATATATATTTACTAGTACATTCGATTTGAGTTCGTAATTGGGGGGGGGGGGGGGGGGGGCTCAGATTCCCTATATATAGCTTTAACATTTTCATCTTCAAGTAAAGGCATGTTAACATCACAAAAACAAATAAAATCAGAGGTTATAGAAGAAAAGTATTCACCGGGATAATATAGATATGCGATATATCGGGGGGGGGGGGGGTCATCAGAGGCATGTGCTATGATATCTTTATGACTTTTTTCCGGATCTACTTCTTCAGCATTTCCATTATCAGATCTGGTTTACTGTCGTTTTCCTCCGTGACAAAATATACAAAAGCATCCACGATGTGTCCCACTGTAGGCTTCCCATTACCAACAAGGAGGAATTTATCATATGCCTTATCCATCTCCTCCTTTTTTTGGCCGAAAACGTCAAATATAAACTGAAATTCCTTTTTCTCAATAAACCGATCTCTTTTCCCGGCTAAGAAAATGCCAAAGGTTTCAAGGCAGTTTTGCACATCTTTCAGAAACACCATTTTGTCGTCGGCGTAAGAACGCTGCAAAGCTGCTACAAATTCATCCTCTGATATGGCTACACCAGATCCTTTACGGAAAAAATACGAATCCCACCAATTTTTCAAGCTAAATTCTGCTGTGAAATCCTTGACGCCTAGGTATTTTCGTATTTCCTCAAATTTTCCGTTTGCTTTTTCCATGTCTGCTGTTGTGAGTTGATTATCATGATCTACATCTACCAACTTAAACCACAATCTCCATTTCTTTTCCAAATAGTCGGACATGGTTCCACTAAAAAGAATAAATAAATATAACTGATTATTGAAATACCCTGTTCGTTTAACTGTGCTAAATGGAAGCACTTAAACAATAATTTACATTGCATATACATGTACCATCACGAAATAGGATCTTTTCACGTTTTGGAAATGGATTTTACTTTGTTTTTTGTTGTTGTTGTTGTTGTTTTTTTTTTTTTTTGGGGGGGGGGGGGTCAAGGAATTTTCTAGGTTTGATATATTTGAGAAAGGAGTTAAGATTTTTTTATGTTTTATTTTTTTTTTTATTTATTTATTTATTGATTTTTTTTTAATATTTTTTTTTAATTTCTGTTTTATTTATTTATTTTTTTTTTATTTATTTATTTATTTATTTATTTATTTTTGTATTATTTTTATTCATTTATTTATTTTTTTATTTATTTATTTATTTTTTTGTTTGTCAAGAAATTTCTGGGTTGAAATTTGTTTGAAGGGGTGGACCCCCCCCCCCCCCCCAACCTTCTCTGACGTACTTCTCTTACCCCATAACAGGAAACAGGACATACCGTCCTATCACCAATTCTCATCAAGGAAAACTCATTAAACTTCCCATTACTGAGCTTTTCGGCCACAGTATGAGTAAATAAAAATCCTTCATCATTTTGAATTCTTTTAATTTCCCGTGTGACACATCTACATGTACACAATCTCCTTCTCTATCTCCCCCCCCCCCCCCCCCGAAAAATTGAAAAGTTGAAAAATGCATGCCCGATTTCTTAAAATACACCTTGTAACAAGACCATTTTCACTAAAGATTAACTGTGAGTCAATTTTTAAAAAAATTTAATCTATTTTTATCAATTTATACAAAAAAAAAAAATAAATAAATAAATAAATAAATAAAATAAATAAGGAAGGAATGCATCTTAAAATTGTAATTCGTTGCTATCTCTGTGTGTTAAAAAGTAGAGTAACCATGCAATTGATATTCTAAAGTTTTTTTTTTTATTATTATTATTTAATTTCCTTTTAAAATAATATAACAAATGAAATCCTCTAACTCGGTCAATGTATAAATATATCGACCTCTGGATCACGGAAAAGAATTATCGACCGAGCACGTATTTTTTGTTTTTGTTTTGTTTTGTTTTTTTTTTTTTTTTTTTTTTTTTTTTTTTTTTTTTTTTTTTTTTTTTTTTTTGTTTTGTTTTTGTTTTTGTTTTTGTTTTTTTTTTTTTTTGTTTTTTGTTGTTTTTTTTTATACTTCAGAAATAAAGTCGATATATTATAAACGGCTAAATTATGAAATATTAATTTTATATATTTTAAATAGTTTATCATTACTTTGGTTTGATATCACAAGTGCCGAAAGTCATAGTTTTTCTATTTATAGACGTAAAAAGTAATTGACGTATAGTCTATAAATAGATTAAGGAAGGTATGCTACTTAAACAAAAAACAGCTGTGAGTATGTCAGTCAAACCAAATTCTTCTCGGTTTCAGTTGGTAACTCAGTTTAAACTCGGATCAGCTGATATTTTCTAACTATAAAACGGTTAACTTTCTCTCACATTAAATCGTTTATAATTTTTGTCAACCTTTTTACGTAGTACATAACAAATGCAATCTTTGTTCGTTCAATTGATATATCAACTTCAAAGTTAAGCAGCCAAGACCTGTGATGAAGACATTCCTTTACATTAATTATTTGAACAAGATAATCCAAACAAAGCCATGGTTTAAATAAACTTTTAAAATTTATTTTCACGATAGTGCTTTTCCCAGAAGATTGAGTCAGAAGTATATTTTCTTTCTTATTTTTCAAGTGTTCCTCTAGTTACAATATCTTTATGACCAAATTCCTTTTTCAAAAATATACAGAAGAATTAATAATAACAAACCAACATTTCATAGAGATTAAAAACTATCTAATTACTTCCTCTTTTTTTTTGGGGGGGGGGGGTGTTTTTGTTATTTATTTTTGATCATGATTATTGAATATTCAAATAACCATAATGACCTACAACTATTTGTATTGTTTGAGAATTAGCCAGATATATTAATAGATACTGTACTGATTTCCCATACCCCATCTATATATCGCACAAAATCTTATCAATATTCTGAAATTCGGTACACTAACACGAATAAATATTTTTTTTAATATAATATATAAAGAGGGGGTATATTTTAAGGGAAATACAAAAAGAAACTTACCTATTTGTACAATAAAATTCAAACAGATCTATGATAAATGGAAACTTCGCTAAATCTCAGTATAGTATGCGGAAAAGGGAAACTTCAGTTAAAAAGGATATAACCTATTAGATATACATGGTTTGTTTTTAACTGACAAACCCTCGTATTCAGAGATAAGAGGAAGATATGGTATGCATGTTTCACACACACTTGTAATGATCACGTTGTTTTGAAAACAGGCCCTTAGCAGCCGTTTCAAGGGGGGGGGGGGGAGGGGATCTGAAAAGCAAAATAAAATTAAAAAAAAAAAAAAAACTGACCAAAAGTGGGGGGGGGGGCAACTTCCCAAAATTATAAAAATTATCTTAAAAGCAAAAAAAAAAAAAAAAAAAAAAAAAAAAAAAGCTAGTGAAAACAAGATGTGTTTGTGAAACAATGAGGCCCCCGTATAGAAACTTACATGTATAGCAAAGGTTAAACTTTCTCAAATGCAAATCAAATATGTTGGTACCCAAAGTAAGGTCTTGTCCCGAGGATAATACCTATGAAATATGAAAGCCCTAGCAGCAATCATTGAAAAGATATGGAAAAGGTTAAAGTTTTTCAAAAGTAAGTCAAACATCAAGGTCAAATGGTCAAAATTAATGGTGCCCAAGGAAAGGCCTTCTCACAAAAATACACATGTTAATTATGAATGTTCTGGCACCAACCATTCATAAGATATGTCCAAGGTTAAAGTTTTTCAAAAGTATGTCAAACCCCAAGGTCAAAGGTCAAAGTTGTTGGTTTCCAAAATAAGGTCTTTTCACAAGGATTACATATGTGAAATATGAAAGCCCTAGCACCAACTATTTAAAAGTAATGGCCAATGTTAAAGTTTTTCAAAAGAAGGTCAAACTCCAAGGTCAAGGTCAATGGGCTGTAGCGTTGGTATCTAAAGAATGGCTTTGTCGTAAGGATTACACATGTGAAGAATGAAAGTCATATCACTAACTATTCCAAAGTTATGGCCAAGGTTAAAGTTTTCCAAAAGTAGGTCAAACTACAAGGTCAAAGGGTCAGAGTTGTTGGTATCAAAAGGAAGGTCTTGTCACAAGGATAACATATAGTGAGTATGAAAGCCCTAGCTCCAACACTTCAAAAGTTATGGCCACGGTTAAAGTTCTTCAAAAGTAGGTCAAACTCCAAGGTCAAGGTCAAAGAGTCAAAGTTAATGGTCTCCAAAGGAAGGGTGTGTCACAAGGATTACGCCTGTGAAGTATCAAAGCCCTAGCACCAACTGTTCCAAAGTTATGGCCAAGGTTGAAGTTGGGTAAAATTTTGTAAGACTGGGTCAAACTCAAAGGTCAAGGTCAAATATAATGGTGCCCAAAGAAAGGTCTTGTCACAAGGAATACACATGTGAAATATAAAAGCCATAGCTCCAACCAATCAGAAGTTATGAGCAATGTTAAATTTTTGGGAACAAGCAGACAAAAAGATAAACATACAGACAGACGGACGGACGGACAGGGCAAAAACAATATACCCCCGAATCTTCGATACGGGGGCATAAAAAGCTAATTTACTATTCAAATCCTGGGAAGTTAAGGCCAAGGTTAAAGTTTTTGCGGACAGACAAACAGACAGACAGGG